TTCCATTTCTGTGCTCTATTCAGAGTCACATTGAAAAGCTTCCTGGCAGTTTGTCTCTCAGGCTCAGGCGGTTTAACAGACAATCAATCAAAGCTGGCTGCAAAGTGCCACTGAATGGGGGAAACAGATTCTCCAACGATGAGAAAGAATAGGCGATTAAGTAAAGAACTGCTGCTGAGAGGCCTGTGGACATGCTTTGTGCTGCTGAAGTGCATTATTGTGCACACGGAGGACTTTGGAACAGGATGCATGCTATATGTTATACTGTATATGAGTTGTCTGAAGAGCTCCTACATGCTTGTCAGTGGAATTATGTCATGAAACCAACATTGATCTGTCTTTTTTTACTTCCCCAGTCTTCAGACTCAGGCTCAGTGGTGTGAGAACCATCTAGCACCTAAAAATAGAAAACTGCAGCTCATTATTGTTCCATTATTGATCCGTCTGTTGAGTCTTTTAACTGATTTGATGAGCGGTTGATAAGTTTGTCGAAAACAGTCAGCATCCTCTCTTAATCTCATCAGAAGTCTTTCAAATGTCCTGTCTATTAAATAACCCAAAACAACTTTTCTTTTACTTAACAGAGATAACAGATTATTTGCAGTTAATCAGTTTGGTTTATCACCACATCCACACATCTAAGCAAAGTAAAAAAAATGACACAAGTTGTTCTAATCTCCTGTCATTAATCTATTTTGCTGCTAACATGTTCCCTTTATTATTTGCACTGGTGTTTTGGACACAGTTTCATAATGACTAAGCTTTATCTAACAAAGTCAGCAAACGGCCAGCTGGAGGACTCTCTTGGTGATAGCAGGTAGACGCAGAGTTGCAGATGGAAGCAGAACATTTGGACGAACCCCTGGAAGCAATTATTGGGTCATTTTCATCTGCTGTGCTAGATTTTTTTTTTTTTATTATTATTTTTTTAATGGTTGAGAAGTGCAGGTGGTCGGATGTTTGTCCGTTCATCTTCTGGGTACGTTTTACGTGCAGACGGACTCGTCGGTCTCAGTATTTGTCAGGATTTAGAAGGAAAAGCAGCTCCTGTTTCCAGATGTTGGAACTAAACAACCTCACATGTTTGCATGGATTTACGAGCCTCCAGAGTGACCTGGCTGAGATTTGAGTCAACCATCATATACGTAAACCAGGTGTTGGATTCTGGGGCCAAATGTGTCATTGACATGCAGAGTGTGGATAAATGACACTTGGAGTCTGCAGTTTATTGAAGTCCATACTGCACACATGTATCTTGCAGCCTATCAGTCCTATGTGAAAAATGTAAAATATGCAAATCTGCAAGAATTTATTCTCATTCATAAGACTTTTTTTCTTTTTTAATTCATCACAACTAGACCCACATAGCAGACAGGTGTGGGTCAGATCTGCCACTGCTGGGCAACAAGTGGTTTCTCAACCAGATATGAGCCAAGTTTGGCAACGACAGCACTGTTTTTAAGATGGTTGTGGCATGCCATGAATGGACCACCTCTAACAAACCACATGTGGGCCACCAATGTCTGGGCTAGGACTGCAGCTAGCGATTATTTTAGTAAACAATTAATCAATTGATTATTCTGTCAATTAATTGAGTAATATGATTTTTTACAAACTGTCTTACTTATTTTATGACAAATACATTTAATACTGTGAAGGGGTAACCTACACTTGCTTGATGACCCTATTGCAATCAAAGTAAATTTAATATACCGGTTGTGTTTGAGTCATTTTAATCTCCAGTTGCTTGTATTTATGTGTGTTAGATTTTATGAGGCATTAATTAAAAGCACTCTGTCATTGAACCCATCCATCCATTGTCTATACCCGTTTATTYCTTTTCTAGGGTCATGGGGGTCACTGGTGCCCATATCCATCAGTCGCAGTGCGAGGGGCAGGTCCATCACAGGTCTACACATAGAGACAAATGAGACAAACAACTCTCTCACTTACACCTAGGGATAATTTAGAGTTATCAGTTAACCAAACAGTCATGTTTTTGGTCTGTGGGAGGAAGCCGGAGTACCCGGAGAGAACCCACACATGCACGGAGAGAACATGCAAACTCCACCCAGAAAGGACCCCGGGCCAGGATTTGAGCCGCCGACCTTCTTGCTGAGAGGCATCAGCTCAACTGAGCCGCCTCTGTCGTTGAACCATTTTTTACAATCACAGAAAAATCTAAATGCTGTAAATTCATTTACATGATGATTTACGTGATCTTTTTTCTACAAAATGTGTAGTATAAAATTTGGGTGTTGCGTTTTGAGTTCTATAGGGTTCCCTTGTTATTGTTAATAGTAAAAATAAGATCATATTTTATTAGTAGGTTGGTGCAGGGTTCCCATTTTAGGCAATGAAGTATTTAGTCTTGACTAGCTATAGACAAATATGACAGCAGTAATAAATGAAGGCTTCAGGTT